CTTTTTTTTTTTTTTTTTTTTTTTTGGTTCCGCGTTCGGCCCGAACGGCCGAACGCATCCCCAAGGGGTCCCATACGTTCGGGCGTTCGGGTTCGGGCCGTTCGGCCGAACGCATCCCCAAGGGGTCCCGAACGCGGGTTACCCTGATTCCAAGTATTTTGGCTAAAATGCCAATTATATACAATATAAGCTAAAAGTTTTTTGACTTTGTTTTGAAAAAAACAGATGGGAGGTCCCTAGTAATTCTCCCTTTTATACTTTTTTTTTTTTTTTCATTTTGTGCATTTTCCTTTTTTTCCCATTTGGTGCATTTTCAAGAGACGCTAGAAAAGACGAAAGAGGAAAAGAGAAAGCAAGAAGAACGAACAAGAACGAACAAATATTTGGCGAGTGTGGTCTTTATCCTGAAGGAGCTTAGGCCCAGAGAGAGAGGAAGAGAGAGGGGATATACTTGTTTTATCTGACAATTTGTACATTTTTTTGGGACGCTAAAAAAGAGGAAAAGCTCTATCCTGAAGGAGCTAGGCCCAGAGAGAGAGAGGAAGAGAGGGGATATACTTTTTTCATCTGACAATTTTGTACGTTTTTTTAGGACGCTAGAAAAGAGGAAAAGAGAAAGCAAGAAGAACGAACAAACTCGGGAAAAAAAAAAAGAAGGGGAAGCTGCTCCTGACCTCCGGACAAGTTTGGAGTCCAGATGCAGATGCATTCAAAATGTTGGCGGATGGCAATGTATCTTTCTATGTTCTGGCGGAAGATTCACTCTCGTTTCGCAGATTTCGAGAGTAGTGCAACTTGCCCCTTAGCGGTGAACACTCGCTACCGTGATATAGGTCCTCGCTCCAGATGCAGATGCATTCAAAATGTTGGCGGATGGCAATGTATCTTTCTATGTTCTGGCGGAAGATTCACTCTCGTTTTGCAGATTTCGAGAGTAGTGCAACTAGGCCCTTAGCGGTAGACACTCGCTACCGTGATATAGGTCCTCGCTCCACGACTGTCGAAATCTGCAAAACGAGAGTGAATCTTCCGCCAGAAGATAGAAAGATACATTGCCACGACTTTTTGTATTTTGTGCATGTCGAGAGTAGTGGAGCGAGGCACATAACATGTGCTGAGAAAATCACCAGACGTGATGACGTCAAAACGTCTTACGTGTGGGGCAATAGGGCCGCCTCGCTCCACTCCTCAACTCACCAAATGTGCAAAATCAGTCAGAATGAATCTGCCGCTAGAACATGGGAAGATACACCGCCATATATTTTTTTTTCTTTTCTGCATATTTTTCGTCTTTTGTGCATGTAGTGAGTAGTGGAGCAACGCCCATTGAGTGGCAAAGGGCAGAATCGAAATTTACCGGCAAAGGGCAGAATCGAAATTTACCAAGACGAGCATGTGAAGGACAGAAAGAACGTCATGAAGAAGACGAACGTGAGAAACCTAAAAAAAAACAAAAGCATTCTTTTTAAAGAAAACAAAAAATTCATGAAGGCGGATTCCCTGCGACATTTTTTTTTTTTTTTTGTGATTGTGTGGGGGGGGGGCGGGGGGGGGGGGGGGGGGGGACGACAATTTTCTCCTCTTTGGGGGAGGGAGGGGAGAGAAAAAAAAACGACAAATCGGATCACTGCCTAGGCTACCAGAGCGGCCCAGGGCCACTTGCCCGGCCAGGTCAAAACAAAAATAAAAATAAAAATGAAAAATATTTTTTAGTTCTATTTTTCATTTTAAATATGGTCAAGAATTTCGATGTGACCCTGAGGCAAAAGTTGTTCAGTTTATTTTTCTGCATAACATCGTTTTTTTCCGGATTTCTTTGATTTTTTTATTTTTTTTTTTGGGCTAGGACCTTCCTTGATCCTTGCACGGCCGGGCCGTCCGGGAAATAGGGTGACCCGGGCGGCCCGGCTGGTAGCCTAGATCACTGCACACACATAAAAACCTACTTAATCATAAGAAAAAAAAAAAAGGTTACCGTATTTATATCAACACTCTGGTTCAGTCCACATGCAATGTACCTTCTCTCAGCACAGGGACCGCCTTGCCAAGAGACCGGCCCGCAAACGGGGATCATGCACACACACTCTACCTTAACGTAGTTAAAAAAAAAAAAAAAAAAAAAGAGGATCTATTTTAACGCTTTCGTTCCCGTCCACATGCAATGTACCTTCCCTCAACACAGCCGCCGCCTTCGCGAGAGACCCCCAAATCGGGATCGCTACACACCCCCGACCTCGAGCACTATCAAAGTTTTTAAGTGAAATTACATCGTTTAAACTTTAAAAGTTAATTTCAATTTTATTTTAGCAGCCATAATTAAATAATTTACGTTTAATTTTATTTCAGCAGCCCGAGAGGAGGAAGAGTTTACCGAGCAGAGGCCGATAGCTGAGCCAAGTACTGGTGGTTTAAGAAGGACGACAGCTGAAATTTTATATCTGCCTATATCCGCAAATACGCTTAAATAAGGTAAAGTCCGGCCATACTTCGCTTAGAAAATAAAAAGTTAAAAGACTACTGTTTTCCCCCCAAAACAAAAAAAAGAGGACCTGTTCTGAAAGGAAAAAAAAGGCATCCACGCATAGACCCAGAAACCGTGCAATAACCGAAAAAAAACGTTTAATTATGTCAAGACCAGTTACATCTTCCATTTGAAAAAAAAAGGGATCAAGGTGTCCTCTTTCTCAAAAGTGTACAGCAATTCTCTGTCGGATCAAGTCGGATGGGCAGTCCTCAGATAGATAGATAGATAGGCAGATACACAGACACAAAAAGAGAGAGAGAGAGAGAGAGAGAGAGAGAGAGAGAGAGAGATTGTCAGAGAGCAGCAAACCATAAATGGATAGATAGACATCATCAGAGATCTAAAATTATAGATAGACAAAAATAGAAAGAAAGAGGGTAGGATGCATAGATAGATAGGCAGATAATACAGATTGATAGGCCGATACACTGACAAATAAGCAGATGTACAGATAGATAAAGAGGTGGATAGAGAGAGAGACAGAGAAAAGATAGATAGATAGATAGATAGATAGATAGATAGATAGATAGATGGATAGACAGATACACAGATACATAGACAGACAGATTATCAGAGAGCTAACGATAGATAGATAGATAGGACGAGAAGAGATTATCAGAGAGCTAACGATAGATAGATAGAAAGATAGATAGATAGATAGATAGATAGGACGAGAAGAGATTATCAGAGAGCTAACGATAGATAGATAGATAGATAGATAGATAGATAGATAGATAGATAAAGATGATAGGTGCATAGATGGATAAAGATGATAAATAGATAGATAGATAGATAGATAGATAGATAGATATAGATGGATAGATAGATCGAGGTAGGAAGGGAGGGAGGGAGAGAGCTTACGAGAGAGCAGCAAAATAAAGAAGCGCTGACAGGAAGGGAGAATGAACTGGATAGGAGGCACAGAGAGGAAATAGAGAAAAGAAAGAGAGAGAGGGAGGGAGGGAGGCGAATCATCTGCAGGGAGAGACTAGACAGGTCGGTAGAGAGGTAACGCACCGTAATCCCGTGGATAAGAAGAGGATGGTTGGGAGCTCTGCCATCAACGCCCTTCTGTCGGCTCCAGCTTGACTCGTACTTGCTGCTCCACAGGCCGTCCCATCACTCCCAATAGCGATGCTGTCCTATTAGTATACCTGATGCCTCCTCGCCCCCCTCCTCCACCTCCCCGCAGGTCCATTTGCACTCCCCCGCCGTGCTGCTGCTGCATGTTGGCCCGTCCTCCTCCCCCTCCTCCACCTCCTCCCCCTCCTCCTCCTCCTCGTCCTCCTGCTCCTTGCTGCCCTTGTGGGACAAAGACTCCCTTCAACGCCATCTCTAATCGGTCCATCTGACCATCTGTCCCACTTGGTCCTGTCCCCTCCTCAAAAGAGAACTCGAACCTTGTCCTCCCGGCTTCCCACGCCATTCCCGCCTTCTTCGGGCCAAAGCCCTTGGAGCTAAGAAGGTCCACCACTTTTGCAAAAATGCCCCTCTCGTCTCCATACCTACCCTCGCAGGAAGGGAACTCCATCGTGATCGCCTGAGCTCGGCCGTCAACACTGCTGACATAGAACCTGGACGTCACCCACGGGACCTCGGCAGCGGCGGAAGCGGACGGGGAAGCGGTAGGGGAGGAGGTGGTGCAGATACCCACAGGGAGTCCAGCCGACAAGCAGGAGGGGCGGGCGGCGCCGTCGGGGCCTTCCCGCGCAGCGTTCGATTCCTTCCTCGCGGGAGATGACGTCGTGGGAAAGAGAGAGAGCGAGACTGGCACAGTGGACTCCTCCTCGTCATCATCGTCCTCCACCTCCAGGCGCTCAACTTCTTCCACGTGGCGTTCCCCGTCGTCGTCCGTCCCCCCGTCCCTCGAACAGCCACGTGGCAGCGCGTGATTGGACCGTATGTAGAAGCCGTTGGCCGCGGCACCGCCGCCGCTGCCACGTGGCGGCGGCGGCGGCGACGACGACTCCATTCTCTTCCTCTCCTCCAGTCGTCTTTCATCCAGTCTTCTTTCGAGCGCAGCTGCGGTGGCGGTAGTGGTGGTGGTGGTCCCCACCACAAGGTGGTTAGCCGGTGCTGCCGGTCTTGCGCGTTTATAGACTTCCCAAGCACCTCTCCTCGGCCCGATCCCGACGCTCACGGTCGCGTCCTCCACGCCGCCGCCGCCGCCGCCGCCGTACCTTGATGAGCCACAACCCATCAACGACTCCGACGACGATGCCAAAGGCATCACATGATGCGGATGCTGGAAACACTGTTCGGAAAGGGAGCGCAAGCGAGCTGCTGCCTCCCTCGCCGCGGCGCACCGATCTATTCCGTTCTCCTCCATTCCACGTGTCAGATCCACAGTCTCCACGACGGGCGGCGACGCGCCGCTAGAGGGCATCCGTGTCGGGATGCCACGTGTCATCAGATCTCTCCTCTGCGGACTGCTGCCAGTGGAATGACTGCGGGATAACCAACAACCCATCCGGGGCTCCGCTCCGCGAGTCGGTTCACAATGCTGCTGGCTGTGATGCTGCTGCTGCTGCTGTTGCTCGTCGTCTCTGCAGGCATCTTCGACCTCCCTCTCCCTCAGCATCGAACCCGCGCACGCGGCGTACTCCATAGTCAGTCCGCTCCCGACGCTCATTCCCCCGCAGGGACCGGCGCCGATTCCGCTTCCCGCTCCGCTTCCGACGCTCATTCCCCCGCAGGGACCGGCGCCGATTCCGCTTCCCGCTCCGCGCCCAATTGCACCACCTTCACCACCAGCAGCACCCACCACAGTGTCTCCTCCTCCTCCCCCTCCTCCACGGGCCAAATGAAGGGAGGTGTTACTGCCTAGGCAGCCAGTGGGATTACCAAGCGGCGGCGGTGACGGGGGCGCCGGCGGCGGCGGCGGCGGCGGAGCCGCTGCCGCCGCCGGCGGAGACGATAACGAAGCGCATTGTCGACTGACGAGCGCCCTCCTCTTCGGACTCTGTTCGAGGCATCGAGGGGAGTCGAGCGCGGCTTCCGCTGCTGGCCTGCCTTCTTGATGCCACGTGGAGGCAAGAGGTGCGGGTTCACAGGGGACTCCTCCTCCATCTTTCTCGATCTCTCTCATGGATGCGCAATGCTGCAGCTGCTGCTGCAAACGAGCGCTGCCAATCTCGACCCCACGTGGGGGGAACTGCGCGGCCTCCTCGGTCGGGGCGCTCTCAGCTGCGGCGCTCAACGCAAACGCGCTTGGGTGTTTCCTCTTCAAGCCATTGCCAAAATAGTACAGTGACGCCCCTACCGCCTGCTGCTCTTCCTGTCGCCCCTCCTCTCCTCCGCTGCCGCGTACGATCGACAACAAAGGAGCGCGAGGTGGTGGTGGTGGGGCATCGGCAATCCCCGCCGCGCTCCCACCTTCCCCCGCTCCTTCCTCTCGCCCCGCACCGTGTGCTGCCCTCCAGATATTGCTTCTTACCCCGCCGCCCCCGCCGCACCCCCCGCGCCCGCCGCCCCCTGCCATGCCTCCTCCACCCGCGGCTGTTTCTCTCTCGCTGGCAGCTCGTAGTTCCATCGATGCCGCCACCGCCGCCGCTGCCGCGGTATTCGAGGCCCCCCCGCCGCCGACAGTCTGCACGGTCACCGGCGCTGGTGCTGCTCCTGCGACGACCGCAGCTGCTGCTGCAGGCGAGCACCCCGCCGATGACCCCACCGACGACCGGTCCGCGCAGCCTTGCTGCAAATCCCTGATGTACTTCGCTGCCCGCTCCAGAAGGTCCGCCTTCCCCCTCTTCGGCGCATCGGGAATTGCGCGCCGAAGCTCCTCGAATGCCGCATTCATCCTCTTCCTCCTCTTCCGCTCGGCTATGGCTGTAACCGTGCAATGGTGATCGACCGCCTTGGTGAAGGCATAAGCGCCCGCGCCGCTACCGCGGCCTCCCGGCGCTTCATGACGACCCTTGGATGCCGCGCCGGATTTCATTCCCGTCCCCCCCTCGCCTCCTTCGGCGACGTCGGGATCGTCGGTGTCATCATCAACCCCTCCCCCTCCTTCTCCATCATCGCTCAGGCTGTTGCTACTCCCACCACCCTTCGTCGAGGAAGTGCCTTTCTGCCAGCAAAGCGTTGGCCGGGCGGTGACAACCGCGCATCCAGCGGAGCCGGCGCTGCCGCCACCGCCGCCGCCGCCGCCGCCGCTGCTGCCCCCAACAACCAATCCTCCTCCTCCTCCTCCTCCTCCTCCTCCCGCGCCGTTCTCTGCCGCCGCGTGTCCATTGCCCAAGTCTGCATGGCCACCACCAGCTCCCCCGCCCCCTACAGCCCCTACCCCCCCTACCCCCCCGCCCTCCATTATCCCTACTCCTGCTCCCATGTACCTGGGGGACGACTGACTACTGTTACTATGATAATGATGATGCATCATTCCTTCCCCTGCCGCGGAAGCTCCCCCTCCCCCTCCCCCCGCCTTCCCCCCCTCCCAACCCGACCGCTCACCAGAAGCCATCACCCCACCACCATTGCCCACGTACCGTTGGATGAAAACGAGCGTTACGTTCTTGTTCCCATTCGCCGTGTTATTATTACCACTAGTACTGCGATTACTGTGACTATCAGTATTATTAGTGCGATTACTATGATTATTCAGATGAATGTTCGTCGCAGGAGGACAGTTAGTTCCATTACTCGCGGTTGTCGACGGCATTATCGTACTGCTGATTGCTGACGTGGCACTTGACCTCGTGTGCGAATGATGAGCAGTAGGATCGGAGGCACGATTGCCAGTCCCGACAAGCAAGTCATCGCCGCGCGCATCGTCCCCATCCCGACTGTCGTGATCTACAGCGTAACGTTTTCCCTCCAATGCCGTCCTCTCCTTAAACATCATATTGCTTTCCCGCCAACCACGTCTCTGCTACTTCAATCAATCAATCAATCAATCAATCAATCAACCAATCAATCAACCAATCAATCAATCAATCAGACCCCGCACTTCAGGCGAAAGCGAGCATGCAACCAATCAACCAATCGATCGATCGATCGATCGATCAATCAATACCCCTCTCATCTACCAATCTACCAATCAATCTAGCTATCTATCTATACAATTTAAACACACAGAAGAATGAACGCAGAAAATCCGCCGCGCACCGCTGCATGATTCTTCTGCTCCTCTCTCTCCTTTCTCTTCCTCCTCTGCCTCCTCCTCTCCCTCTTAGAGAAGGAAAAATGAGCTTTTGTCCAACGATTTGCAGAACTGGAGACAGACGAGGCTAAAGAGTTCCAACGGTCAGTAAATGAAATATATCGCAAGCAAATTCTGACCGTGGCTAACGACGGGTAACCACGTACAAACCGTTAAGCTGTGCTCTCTCGACGAGCGAGAGACCGAGAATTTGCGCGCGCGCTCTCTACTCAAACAAACGAACAAAACGATCGCCACTTCAGAGAAGCAACCGTACAAACGCACCTGTCATCCACGTGCCGTCCACGTGTCAGCCGTTTGACGGGCTCTGATCGAGTCGCTGACGTCCGCGAAATCTGATGCATCCACGTGTCAGCTGTGGACTGTCACGTGGCAGACTTCCACGTGACAGACGCACCGTGTACTTGGACGCAGAAGCAGCGACCAACGTGTTCGCCGTGAGAGAGAGGTGAGGTGAACACGAGCGAACCACGCGTTAGTAGCTAGTTGAGACTCAGACGCATTTGACTCTGATTACTGTAAGAAGGAGACATCATCAGATCAGAGACTCGAATTTCACTATACGTTGACAGAAGCGATCCACCTGCCAACTTCTTAGTTGATACTACACTTTTGACTCACAATCTGAAAAGACAACAGCTATATCCACGTGTCAGCCAGTTAAATGCTACACTCTAGTGCCTGCTTCTGGGCTTCAGTTGCGTTCAAGGGGGGGCCTTGATACCAGCGCTTGATACCACATCCACGTGTCAGCAGCTCGTGATTTCGCCCGCGTGCACGTGCTGCTATCCGCAGTACTTACTGTAATTTCACGTGCGCGTGCACGTGTTGTCCCCAGCTCGTGATTTCAATCAGCAGCTCCCACGATTTGGGGTCCATCCACGTGTCGTCGGCACCTCGTTCTTTGCTCAGGATGGGTGATACAAAGAATTGAATGGACAACGGCTCTCACAAAAAGAATCCATCCACGTGTTCTCCGGCAGCGCGTTCTCTTTGCTCAGGATGGGTGATACAAAGAATTGAATGGACAACGGCTCTCACAAAAAGAATCCATCCACGTGTCGACAGCACGGCAGCTCGTTCTTGAGCTCAGGATGGATGATACAAAAAAAAAGAAAAACAGAATTGAAATGACGAAAGCTCTCACACAGACAATTGAGAACAGGATAAAAGAAAGAAAGAAAGAAAGAACGAAAGAAAGAAAGAAAAAGAAAGAAAGAAAGAAAAAGAAAGAAAAAAAAAGAGAAAAACGAGAGTGGAGGGGGAAAACGACCGGACGACGGCTGTTACCAGCGAAACAAATGTAGACCTCGACAGGCCGGTCGGGATCGGGGCCTCCAGGATAAGTTAACAAGTGGATCGGGCACGGGATCGACAAAACCACGACCTCCGGGGAGCGGGTAGGGATCGGGGGAGGGAGTTACTAAGTGAGTGACGGATTGACTCGATTGCTGCTGCTGGGGCTGCTGCCTGTGCTGGCTGTGCTGGCTGTGCTGGCTGGCTGCTACACGCTCGTTCTTGCGGTCTGGCTCTTGGGGCGAGTCACAGCTTGTCACCTGTGAACGCGAGTGAAGTAACAGGTGCACAGCGTTGGCGCGAGTAGTACTCTTCTTCCACTTCCTCGAACAGACAACGATCTTACTATGTCTGGGACACCAGACACACTAGCTAATCAATCAATCAATCAATCAATCAATCAATCAATCAAATCAATCAATCAAATCAATTACTCAATCAATTAATAAATTGGTTAAGTAAGTCCCGTCGTTCCTCATATGATAACGCTACAGGCGGCAAACTACTTCCACAACTCATTCCTGGGACGTCTCTCTTCTTTCCACACCAAGCCAGAAAGGCCAAGCCCACCAAAACCACAGCTTCTCCATCTGGCATCTAAGCCAAGACCTCATTCTCTCTCTCTCTCTCTCTCTCTCTCTCTCTCTCTCTCTCTCTCTCTCTCTCTCTCTCTCTCTCTCTCTCTCTCTCTGTGTCTAGCTCTCTCTTTCTACGTCTCTGCCGAAAGGTGAGGACACAGAGACGAGCTCACACCTGTGAATAGACACGCCTACAGTAGCGGTAGAAGAGGGACACACACAAAGAGACGTATGTAATAGAGCTAATCCAGCAGACTACTCCGCTGCCAGCACGTCACCTCCCGACTAGTCTGCAGCGCCCTGGCTGATCGTTTGTGTCCACTCGCTCCACGTTCTGCTGTGAACGCCCAGAGAACGAAGAACATGAGAACACGCTTTCCCCTCTCTCTCTCTCTCTCTCTCTCTCTCTCTCTCTCTCTCTCTCTCTCTCTCTCTGTGTCTGCGTGTGTGTGTGTGTGTGTGTGTGTGTGTGTGTGTGTGAGAGAGATTATTTGACAATCACTGGCTACACGTTTTCCACGGACTGGAAGCCGCGCAGCTCGAGGCTGCTATTTTTAAGCAACAGCTGCGCTGACGGATGTCCGCTTAAAACACGTCCAGATTCATAACAATAGCGAAGTGTGTCCAGCTCGAGGCTTCTATTGTTATGCACCAGATGAGCTGACGGATGCGCATCAAGATGAGAGGTTGTCTTTCCTTCACAGGAGGCGAACGAGTTCCCTCCCCCTCCCCCTCCCCCMCCTCTTCCTCTTCCGTCCCTTCTCTACGACCACGTCTCTGCAACCTCCACTCAATTCCGCAATATCAAGAGAGAACCCGCGCGTACGTGAAACAGAAAAACAAACAAAAAAAAAACAAAAAAAAAACACCACACAAGGATTCTTACTCGCTTGCACAAGTCGCAAACGACAATCTATACTCCCTTGGACCTTGGACTCGTCCCCGCACGTTCGAGAGATTTGGCGTGTGGTTCGCGGATCCTTCTTGCCAAAAGGACCCACGCCAAAATCGAGTCGAGCTGCTGCAGGCGGGCGCGGCAGCAACCTCTCGCGAAAAACGATCAGTCAGTTTCCTTTTTCAAGTTGTGACGGTGGACGACCTCTTTCTCACTCCCCGCCAGTTCTTTTTGATTGACGATGGTGATTTGTGTGCGGCTGTGTGGCGGCGGGAACTCGGGAAACGAAATCGTGATATTCTCCGTGTTGTGTGTCCTGCGGGGAGGCCCAGAGTGAACACAGAAAAAGCGCCAACTATGAATCGCTCTTCCAGCGTGAGGCCTTGTTCATTCCCCCAAAGAAGAAGGCCGCGACAACACACAGTCATCAATCAATCCTGACAATCAGTCGCCAAGTGTAGTGTGTCCCTCCTACTCTAAACACACACACACACACACACACACACACACACACACACACACAAGTGTGTGCTCTTACACAACACACACACACACACACACACACACAAGTGTGTGTGCTCTTACAGAAAACACACACACACACAGAACAAAGAGAGAGAACAGAGAGAAGGAGGTGGTGAAACACGTGGAGAGGAGGAGGCTGTGCGAACCCTCAATTAAATGAATGATTCATTCGAGTGTGAGGGGAGACGTACAAGGGAGGAGAAGAAACGCGCAACTCGCGGCAAATAACGGCGGGCGGAAGGAGAGAACACATCACCTACCCGAGGAAGAAGAAGAGGGACCGGGAGGGGCGGGGTGCGGTGGGGGACCGGGTTGGGGGGGGCAGAATCGTGCGCAAGAGAGTTGTTGTTGTTGGAAGACGAGGGTTTGCGTGAACCTGGACTGGAAAAGGGGAAAGAGAGAGGACGTCGAGAAACGAGGCAGCGAGCGTGTTTGCTCGCCCACCCACACACGCACTTGCCGACTCTACCGAGCCGAGAAAGCCAACCTCGTTGTTGTGATTTCGAGTGAGAGCAACACTGGGCCGGTTTCTCGTTGTTGTGATTTCGAGTGAGAGCAACACTGGGCCTTTACCGAATGTATCTGACCAGATTAATTACAACTGGCTTACGCATGTATCTGAACCTAATGGTGTCCAGATACCTGTCTAAGAAGGCCTAAGATCGTAGTGTACGCTGAGCGACATACGTGCGCTGATCCGCTCCCCCGCCTCCACGCACCGCCACCGCGAATCGTCTATCGAGCTTGCGCGGCGTGTGGGGGCCTCACAACACCACTCTCCAATCGAAATGTGAAAAAGACAAAAATGTGGCGGGCGCATCTGGCCATGTTCCAGCAAGAAGTTCGTTCTCATTTTGCACATTCAGCCGCGAGATGGTGGCGACGCCTTTGCCGATTCCTCTCCCGCGGGCGTGCGACAAACATGTGCGACGAAACTTTGTCGTTTTTGCTGTTCGTGGAGCACAGGGTTTCGAACCCGGCCTTCCTTCGTGGAAGTCGGATGCCTCGGAAAAAAAAAAAAACAAAGTGCAAAATCATAATGAACTTCCCGGTAGGACATGGCCAGATGCACCTGCCACATTTTTGTCTTTTCCACATTATGAGAGTGGCGTGGCGAAGCCCACTGTACTTGCGGATGTGCGACAAAACTGTGGAAAATCTGACGCCGCACAGTCACGCGACATCCTGGGGCGTGGTCCCACTAGCAAAGAGGAGCGGATCGAATGCCTGAATGACGAGGTCGGGGAGATGTGCAGGAAATGGAGATCGAACTGCTTTTCTGCATCTCTTCATAAAATGCGTCCCGATTCAGGCATTCGATCCGATCCTCTTTGCTAGTGGGACCTCGGCCCTGTTCTCTGCCGGGCTTGAACCCAGGCCCATCAAAAAAAAAAAAAAAAAAAAACGAAAAACAAAAAAAAAAATCACAGCTGCTCGATATTATTAAGAGCGGGGGTATGTTGCAGTGACTTAGGGATATACTCACAGGGTAGGTTGATACGTGAGACCGGTGAAGAGCAAACTAGAGTTCTATCCATTGGCTGCGTGGTGGGAAACCCGTCTAGGCAACAAAGGCTCTTTACAGCGTTTTGAGATGTGAGGCTGAGAGAGTGACCCTAATGTCCAGTCCTCCCGCCCAGCGCTTAGTCACTGGGATCGCTCCCTTAGTCCGCTCCTCTCGCCGATTTTCGGTATTTGGATAGTCATAGAGCCCTGAAGCCCGTTGGGGTGACGGCGCCACAAGTGGGAGTGGGAGATTGACTTCCCGTGAGGGCACGGGTGCGCAGCCCGTAGTTCGTTTGTTTATGTGGTTCGGGAAGGGTAAGGTAGTGGTTATGCTATATGTATGTTTTGTCATGTTCGCTATACATAACTCGAAGAGAGTGCGTGTGCGGTCCCGGTTGGTGCTTTATTGACGATGTTCATGGGACGCTGGACCCAGTTTCCAACAGGTGGCGCTCCCC